TTAAGAGTTCAGATTTAATTAATGATGGGTTATGCACCGTATCTTGAGCCCTCTCTATGTTCTCTGAACCTGGCCAAAGCTTACGATCGGAGGATAAGATGGGACTTTGTTAGAGATATGCTAGAAGCAGCAGGCGCCCCTCCTAAGTTCGTGGAGTTGACTATGGTGTGTATTACTTCCTCGGCTATGCATATCCAGTGGAACGGAGGTTTAACTGAACCTTCTACCCGTCGCGGGGCCTTCGTCAGGGTTGCCCGTTGTCTCCTTACCATTTCACTTTGTGTATGGAGAGGTTGGGCCACCTGATCGATGGATCTGTGACGAGCGACCAATGGAAACCGATCAAGCTGTCAAGCTCTAGGCCGAGTTTGTCGCATCTTTTCTATGCAGACGAAATTATCCTATTTGGAGATGCGACGATGGACCAAGTGCAGGTGATTTTAAGCTATTTCGAGCTATTTGGAGGAGCCTCAGGCCAGAAGATCAGCAAATCGAAGTCTCGAGCCTTCTTCTCAACCAATGTCTTATCTCCTCTAAGACAGAGTCTGAGCGGTGCTTTCTAGATCCCGGAGACAGCCAATCTAGGCCGTTACTTGGGTGTGCCGGTCATCCATGATCGGGTCTCTAAAGCAACCTATACTAAGCTAATTGACCATATTTACTCGAGGCTTGCAGGATGGAAGGCTTCCACGATGTCACTGGCAGGAAGGATCACTCTGGCGCAATCGGTGCTTTCCTCTCTTCCAGCTTACACTATGCAAACGACGTTTCTCCCGGCGAGTGTGAGGGAGTACATCGATAAGAAGATTCGAGCCTTTGTATGGGGGAGTACTGACCAGCAAAGGAAAATCCATCTTGTCGATTGGGAAATTCTCTGTAGACCTAAGGCGGAGGGTGGACTGTGCCTTCGAGACGCTAAAAGGATGAATGAAGCATACATGCTGAAGATTGTCTGGCGTTTGCTCACCAAACCAGACGATTTGTGGGCAAAGGTTATCCGAGCAAAATATTTCTGCCACACAGAGGAGGGGCTGATGCTAAGATCGACGAGGAGGCTTTCCAATCTTTGGCGGGGCGTGTTGAGGGCCGCACACCATGTGGAGGAGGCAGCGAGATGGAATGTGAGAAGTGGAAGGGTTGCCAGGTTTTGGAGTGACCGGTGCATAGCGGAGGAAGTGATCTTGAAGGAGCATGCACCGAACCTGCCGGAGGAGTGCTTGCATCTACCATTGCCGAGTTTTTTTTAAACGGTTAGTGGAATAGAGACTTTTTACATGCATACTTACACCCCCACATTGTCTCCCAGGTTGTACTTCACCCTATGCCCGCGGAGCAGGAAGATGATGTTAGGACTTGGCGATTGTCTAAGAACGGCGAATTCACTCTGAATTCGGTGTATTCCTTGCTGGAGAATGGAGGCAAGAGTAGCAGCAGCAGGCACCCTACTTGGCACACGATCTGGCGGACACCCACCATGCAGCGAATTCAGACGTTTTTGTGGCTAATGAACCACGACAGACTGCTGACAAACTTTGAACGTCATCGATGCCACCTGAATGATGACAGCAGCTGCAAAATATGTGAAGGAGAAGACGAGATGGGCATTCATATCGTCAAAGACTGTCCCTTTGCGAGAGAAGTCTGGTCGGCCTTCCTTGAGGGCGACCTGGCATCAACTTCCTCGAACCGGACATGAAGCGATGGTCTCTGCATTATTTATCAGGACATAGTAATGTGGTTAACGCTACTTTGTTTGCAGGTACGTGTTGGCTGCTGTGGAAGAACCGGAATAGTCACTTGTTCGAGGGCGAGCTGAAAACCTATGCACAGATCCCGTTCGACACAAAGCAGCTAAAGCATCGGACCAGGAAGCTTTTGAGAAAGAAAGTCATATTTTTGGAGCCGGGGGACTCCACCTCCTGAAGGCTGGACGTGCATCAATATAGATGGCTCGGTGATACATGCACCTGAGAGTACCACTTGTGGAGGCATCGTGAGAAGGGACGATGGCCATTTAATCAGAGCTTTCTCAGCGAACCTAGCCGGGGGTTCAATCACTCGAGCAGAGCTGGCTGGAATTGTGCATGGGTTGAAGTTTTCCTGGGAAGAAGGGGCTAGGAAGGTGATTCTTCAGACAGATTCTAACACGGCTATTTCCCTGATAGAGACTGCGACGACCAACCACCCACATTACACGACTGTGGCAGAGATTCGTTGCGGGATAAGTAGACCCTGGCAGGTTAAGATTGAGCATGTGTATCGTGAGGCTAATTAAATAGCATGGCCAGACCGAATTTGAGGTCGGGTGGCGATTCTACCGATCGTACCGACCGGTCCGGTCTGTCTTTGACAACACTGAATAATAATTATTATTATTTCTAATCCATTGTCACAATCCTTCGTACGTAATCTTCGATTTAATCATTCGGTCGAACCTAGACCTAAATATCGGGGTGTTACACTGTTTAAGAAGGGGTGCAACTTTAGTACGACTAGACCAGGTGAAGGAACTTCCCCGATTCGAATTGAGGATGTCCAAATGACTCTGTTGTCTTCCATTCTTGTTCCGCATCAGTTGCCCCTAAAGGTATCTTTTTCGTTTACAAGGTGGCATCCACCTTTAGGAAACATAGCCAGGTTGTTGTGTCTAGTAGAGCGGATGCCGACTCCACCATTCTCTTTCGGCTCGAGGAGCTTGGGCCAGGAGACAAGGTGTAACTTCTTCTTATCTTCCGAGTCGCCCTAGAGGAAGTCTCTATTGATGCGATCAATGGCATTGTACACCCCTACCAGAAGAAGTTATGTCTGCATAGGATAGATAGGGATGGCAGTAGAAACAGACTTCACCACTGTCAAACGAGCAGCAAGGGAGAGATGCTTAGCTTTCCGGGGGCGAGTTTCATTTGAATTTGAATGAGGAGCTCGTGGTATCTTACTTTGTTGACTCTCCCATATATGAAGTTAACTCCGAGGTATCTGTCGATGTCCACCGTGAGAGGGATCGAGGCTCGTCTGCTAAAAAATCTTGCCCTACACCGGTCAACGTTTGCAGAGACAAAAATGGCAGATTTGTTGTCATTAACTCGCTGCCTTGAGGTTTGGCAAAATTCCTCGAGGCAATGTTTGACAATTTGGATATGGGAGCTCTCTGTCTCTGCAAAAAGAACAAGATCATCGGCAAAAAGATAAGTGAGAAAGAGTAGGACCATTCGTAGACAGTCTGACGGGTTTCTATATTTTGTCCTGAATGGTCTGATTGATCCAATGAGATAAACGTTCCATGCAAAGGATGAAGAGATAAGGAGATAGAGGGTCTCCCTGACGGACGCCTCTGGTGGGGGTTATCGGGGGAGGGAGCTCTCCATTCCATAAGAGATGCATGTTATGTTTCTCCACGAAATACATGATGCAGTTGATCCACGAGCTTGGGAGGCCGACTTCCTTGAGCATGTCCCTAAGGAAGTCCCAACGAAGATGGACGAAATTATATTTTTGTTTTTAGTGCAAACATACATTACTGAAACATGCAAAATTAAAGGTTTGTGACCGTTTTATATAAAGGGAATAGTTTTGTGACCATTTATGATAATTAGCCCTTCCAAAAAGAACCGTAAGACGGACAAAGAGTGATCTGGAAATTTGTCAATGGGAGGGCTATGCAACCTGGACACGAAACAACAACATTCGAAGATATCCCAACCATACTTACTACGTTGCCACGTGTATCGCAATAATGATCTTCCTACGTGTCAATTTTTTGCCAGCAAGGATTATTACATAAATTTGTACAAAAAAGAGGGATTAGTAGTTTAGTACATGTTTACAACTAAAAAATTATCTTGTACCACATTAGTGAGTTACAAGATAATCAATGAGTTTATAAGGCCACATGAATTATAACAATTAATGTTATTTAAGTTGGGCCTTATGGATATTGATTTGAGCACAAGTGTCAGATAGATATTCTTTGGGGGTTTTATTGTTATCTGGATATTTATGTTATGTTGGATATTTTGTGGACTATTGGGGTTAAATCGGTTAGGTTAGTATCTGGGTAGTTTTAGGGAATTAGTCGGATTATATATATTCTGTGTTAGGAGAAGGGAGGGGTTAGCAATAACAACAGAATTATTCCCTAAGCTATCTTCCTCTCTCCTCTCATCTGTCGACCCCCTTTCTCCTCTCTCTAGCCGTCGGCCACCACCCCGGTGACTCGACCTCTCATCCCCTCAACCCTAATCCCAATTCTATCTCACCCAAATCCCCAATTCTCATATCAATGTAATCCCTAAATCGCACACCTAGGTCCGTGCTCTTTCAGTGGTATCAGAGCCTGGTTGGTGTGCCGATTTTCTGAAGAGTATTGAAATCCTGAAGATGTCAAACCCTACGGAAAAATCGCAGCCGCCGTGCCAGAACAAGGAGATTGTGACGATCTAGGATGTGCGACAAACAAGTATGACACGATGGCGGCGGCGTTGGAGAGTATGACGGAAGCTACTGAGAGGGCAGCTGAGGCCTCGAAGGGTTCGATCGCTGCAATTGAAGAAATAGGGGACCAGATCAAGGCATCAATCAAAGACATGGGCAAGAGCGTGGCTGAAAATATTTGCGGGGCCCTAGCAACGACAATAAAGGAGGTTTTGACCCAGGTTCTCAGGAGCCGCGAGCAACCGGCAACCGCGACCCCGACAGTGACCAGGGTCGGGCGGCGGCGAGGGAGCAGGGGCGGCGAAGTTGGTGGCGGCCAGGGAGAAGCCGCCGAGCGGAGAAGATGGTACAGGGGCGGTGATGGCGACCGCCGCGGGGCTGGTCGCGGCGAACTCGACCGGGAAGGGAGGCGCGCCGGGGAGCTCCACCGGGGTGCGCGACCGCATCATCGAGGAGGATGACCAGGGCGCGATAAGCGCGTCAGAGTCGGTGTTCAGCGGGCCAGGCTTACTGCCGATACCAACGGCCCATGAACGTGACAAGGCCCAGGGAAAGAAAAAGATGGTCGGTTATGAAGGTGAGCCATGGCCGCCTGGGCCCGAGGGAGATGAACCATGGCCGATTGGGACCGGGGAAGAGGACGAGTTGAGCTTTGCAGGCCAGGAAGGCTGGGTGGATCTAGGACCAGATGGGGTAGAGTGGGTTGGGTGTCGGACCCCAAGTTGGGCCGGACCGAACTGGTTGGTCACCAACCGGCGGACAACAGCTCGGTGCGCCGGGCAGGGGCTTCGAAAGAGGCCCGGAGTATGGGTATCCCCCATGGGGTACCCCGCGAGCAGGTGGAGGGCGAGGTCGAGGCTGTCAAGAAGTTGGGCAAGGATCAGGGACCAAACCAGAGTACGGCGGGGACAACCAGGAGATGTCGGGTGACTGGCCCTACCCTCATCAGCAGGGAATCGAGGGAAGCTACGACCACAATGGCACGATGAATCGACAGCCTCCATCAAATACCGGCAGGTGTGGGTACAGTAACCCTCTATATGATTGCGAGGATGAATTGGTGTTTAGAGCTAAACCGTCGGTTATAGAGTTTCCCAAGTTCGATGGGACGGGAGATGTGGGGCTATGGCTTTATGCAGCAGAGAGGTGGTTCAAGAATCATCCGATCAGGGAGGAGCAGAAGGCGCATCTGGCATCCTTCTATCTGGAAGGGGATGCCCTCCAGTGGTGGGAGTGGACCGAGAAAGCATATGCTGCGGTCGGGGAGGACATCTCTTGGGCAAGATTGACGAGTTGAGTTATTAGTTTGCCAAGGCGGGGGGGGGGGGGGGGGAGGAGGGCTCTAGAGCAGCTAGCCAAGCTCAGAATCGCGCAGAGTTCCTCAAGCTGGGAAGGAAATGACAGAAGAAACTCTAGTGGGCTTGTGCATGGCGGGGCTGCGTCCCGAGCTGCCAACGACCGTTAAGGTCTTTGAACCTGATTCCCTTCGAGTTGCTTTTAGAATTGCAGGTCGCAAGGAGGAGGAGTTGGCTAGTTGGAAATCGACCGGGCGCATCCAGAAGGCAAGTGTAGGCGCGGGAATAGGCTCCGCAGGGACCACACCGCCACCGGGAAATGCAAGCCCGGTAGCTACAGGAGCTTCTCCAGGAGGCAGGTTTCCATCAAGGTTGCCACCGAAGGGGTTTGTCAGGTTGACACAGGCGGAGATGGACCAGAAGCGCAAGGATGGTCGTTGTTTCAACTGCGATGAGAGGTATACAGTGGGACATCAGTGCGCCAAAGGACACCTGATGCTGTTAGTCGAGAATTGGGAAGACGAGGGCGAGGAAATGGAGTCGGGCGAGGCAGAAGGAAAGAAGGAAGAGAAGATAGAAGGCCCACCTTGAGGGCAAGGTGGGTTTCAAGGGGGATGGAATGTTAGATAGATATTCTTTGGGGTTTTTATTATTATTTGGATATTTATGTTATGTTGGATATTTTGTGGACTATTGGGGTTAAATCAGTTAGGTTAAGTATTTGGGTAGTTATAGGGAATTAGTCGGATTATATATATATTATGTGTTAGGAGAATGAGGGGTTAAGCAATAACACCAGAATTATTCCCTAAGCTCTCTTCCTCTCTCCTCTCATCCGTCGACCCCCTTTCTCCTCTCTCTACCCATCGGCCACCACCCTGGTGACTCGACCTCTTATCCTCTCAACCCTAATCCCAATTCTATCTCACCCAAATCCCTAATTCCCATATAAATCTAATCCCTAAATCGCACACCTAGGTTCGTGCTCTTTCAACAAGCCACTAAGTCTTGAGAGGGACGTGCCGCTTCACAAAGCGGCCCATGTCCGTCTAGAAATCGAGGAAGCACATTCCAACCCACGGCCAAGTCTGGAGAGGGACGTGGCGCTTCAATGAGAAGGGCCATGTCCGTCTAGAATCTAGAGGCACATTCCACTTCAACGAGGAAGGCCATGTCCATCTAAAATATGGAAGCACATGTGGTCTCAACTCTCAACAAAATATCATGGACACGAGATGAGGAGTTTCCACCCCCTTAAGCTAAGTGATCATGGCTCCTCCAGTGTACATAAATATTATAAGTATGAGAGGGATGTGCCACCTCAAGGAGGAGGGCCATGCCCGTCTAAAATCTAGAGGGACGTGCCGCTTGATGCGTGACAGAGAAGTCCATGGCCGTGAATGAAGAGGTCATGCCGCCCCATGATCAAGACCGACCGACCCAAAATATACCAAGTCTGGGAAGGACATGCTGCCTCACAAGAGGGGCCATGGACACGGATGAGAAGGTTGTGGTGGTGCAGCACTATATAGCTAGTGACTAAGTCCAAAGAGGGCCATGGACATGAGTAAGAAGTCCATGGCCATGAGGCAAGAGGACCATGGCCCCTTTGCGAGACACCACATGCTCATCAAATTACTAGCATGGCATGAGATTCAAAGCAAGACCAGGCGAGGCAAGCTACACTAAAAAACCCCGACGGGTTCAAGAGAAGTACCTAGGCAGTTGAGAGAGGAACTATTACTCATGCCACGTTCAAGGGACACGTCAGCCACATTCTGGACAAGAGGGAGCGGTTCTTTCTAGCAGTTATCCAAGAAGTGGTTTTCTACGACAGTTACCTCCTCGTGGCTATAAATAGGAGGAGGGTTCGACAGAGACAGAGGTCTCAAAACCAACACTCTGACACAGATGTCAAGTTTATCCTTTATCTTGTCTCTATCATGTAGCCATACACGTAGCTATTAGTTTGGAGCTCTCACCGAACCTCCATAGAAGTATAAGTAACTTGATTTAAATTTTCATTCCTAGAACCATCAATCAAACACCCTCGTTCGAACTTTTTCTGAAGAGGCGTGAGCCGTATCTAAGTAATCGTTATCCGAAGAAGTCAAAGGTGTAATCAATCTCAATTCAACGCAAGCTTTCTCGCCGGAAAACAATACATAGTACATGGGTCGTTTGGATGGAGTATTTGTATGAGTTATTTGGGTTCAAATAACTCACAATGAGTTATTTGGACACAAATAACTCGTTCGACAGCGTTTTACTGAAATGAGTTATTTGGATAGTCAGATATTTACAAATAACTCAAAACGAGTTATTTGAAATAACTTATACCCATGTGTTATTTCGAAATAACTCGTTTTATCACTCTGCTTTTACCAAATACCACATGTCAAATACCACATTTGCATGATTCAACCAAATGAGATACTTTATTTCAATTACCACTGAAATAACACTGGGAAATACCATATGAACAATAAATGAGTTATTGACTTTACAAATACCACATTAACAATTAACCTATCCAAACGAATAAATGAGTTATTTGACTTTACAAATACCACATTGACAATTAATCTATCCAACTACTCCAAACATTTATTTATTTATTATTCTTTTAGTTGCTTATTTTGCTCACCCACAAAGGAAAGCTTCGATTCTGGATGTAACGTCCACGTCACTTCCGATGCGCCATTTCTCTCCCTTCCGGCCGTCGATCGCATAAAAGCCAGGAAGGATAGACCACCGCGACGCGCCGTTTATGAATCGCTTAGCTCGCCAAGTTAGCCCTTTTAACTCGCTCCACCCATCCCGCCTCTCCGCCACCACCGCCACCGCCACCGCCACGGTGGTCACTTGTAAATTAAGCTCCCGCCGCGCCCACAATTCACTCACTCCCCATCCCGCCGCGCGATTTCCGCGCCGAATTCTCCCTCAGGCCTCCGCCTTGGCGTTCTTCGCCACCCGACCCGCCAATTCCCCGAACCCTTCGGCAGCGATGGACCCGACCCCGCCGGAATCATCGGAGGCGCCGCAACGTGCCGGGGAGGACTTTGTCCACGTCGATAACCCCGATCCTAGCGGCGGGGCACTGAGCGACAGCATCGTTAATGTTGCTGATGAGCTGAGGGACGAGGGAGAATCGGTGGTGGCCTCGGCGGGGACTGCCGCCGGTGAGGCTGAGCCTGATGAGAGGATGGAAGCCCCCGAGGAGCTCTCGAGAGCTGTGGTGCTGACTTGTGAGTCCAAGGCTGAAACTGGGTCCTGCGATGTCTACTTGGTCGGCACCGCCCATGTTTCAGAGGTGATTGCTTTCTTGAATTTCGGAATTCTGTTTGGTTGAGCATGAAAAACTAGATTAGCGGGAGATCATGTTTGACTTGAATAACTGTTTACAATTTTGAGTATGAAACTTGTCATTCATGGTAAGATTGGAATGCATTTAGTAGCCGACAGAAGGATCATTTCTTGGATAAATTTCGTGAATTGAGAGATTGTGGCTTGATCTTTATCTATACCTCTTATGGATTTTAAGGAATATAGTCTCATTTTCTCCATTACCAAACTGGAATGGTGACTGGAATGTGCATAAAGCGAAGGCTGAGGTCAATGTTTTTGTTGAATTCAACATGATAAGCGTTGGAGTGAAGGGGCCAGTTTTACTGCTCTTTTGATGTTTCTTGTACAAACAGTGGACATTGACATGTATGATGTACTCTATCATTGCAGGAATCGTGCAGAGAAGTCGAAGCTGTAATCCGTTACTTGAAACCAGAGGTGGTTCCCTCTAGAGACGACCTCGTGATTTATTATTGGGTGGCTGGTTGGCCGTTTTCTTCCATCTATTCATAACTGAAGATTATACTATTGAGTTGGCATGTGTTTTCTACAGGTAGTCTTTCTGGAATTGTGCTCTAGTCGTGTGAGTGTGCTTGCACCTCAGAATTTAAAGGTGCTGCAACTAAACCTTTGATATGCTTATCTTCTTTCCCTTTCTTCTTTTCGTTATATGTCGTCCGTTCTTGATTGAAACTCTTTCCCGTGTTTGAGTGTATTTTATGCGGCCGAGGAGTTGCTTATGCTTCCTGGCCCCAGATTAACTTTTGTTGAGCCTCTTGCGCATGTTGAATCATGTCTTGTTTGCTGTATCTGTAACTTTAGATGTGGCTAGTTCCTGACTGCATTTTGTTATTCTATCTTCTTGACTCTCAATATATATATATATTTTTAGTGTTATTACTCGCCATTTGCTTATATGCTTAAAGTTTTAACAGGTGCCAACTACAGGAGAAATGATAGAGATGTGGAAAAAGAAACAAAACTTGTTTGGGATACTATATAGCTGGTTCCTTGCCAAGGCAAGATACTCATGCTACTTATAGTTTCTACACGACATCCTGTGAATTCAAGATGTATTTCTAAGCAGTCAGTTTCATCAATTTATTATTGATACATCCTCAGGTCGCTAGTCAGCTTGAGGTATTTCCCGGCTCTGAGTTCCGTGTGGCATTTGAAGAAGCCAAAAAGTATGGTGCTATTGTGATACTTGGCGATCGTCCTGTACAGGTGAGGTTCCTTTGATATGTCGGTAACGAACCTCATGGAGAAGATGCTTTTATCCAAGTTGCTTGCCTTTTGAAATAAGTGTCCTAGTTCTGGCTATTGTGACGAGTTTTCTTTTCAAATTCTCATTGTGGGTGTGTCCCTTTTGTGATTTTTTTTCTTTTGTTTTGGATAGCAGAGTCCTTGTGATTTCTGTATAGTCCGTTTTCTTGAACATTGTCAATCTGACCTGCCAACTTGAACAGGTAACATTGCGAAGAACATGGTTAAAAATGCCACTTTGGCATAAGGCAAAACTGGTGTACTCATTACTCTTTCAAGCTGTCTTCTTAGCAAGTCCACAGGACCTTAAGAAAATGGTATGTTTTCTCTCTCATCTACCCTGAATTTGGCTGTTATATTAGCTTGAAGTAAGTCGATTCAAGCTTGAGAATTTGTTTGTTGATTTTCCAGCTCAAGGAGATGGATGATGTTGACATGTTGACTCTTGTGATTCAAGAAATGAGCAAGCAGTTTCCCACTCTTATGGAAACCCTAGTGCATGAGCGAGATCAGTTAGTATTTTGTTTGTTCTTCCTCTTGTTTCCTCTTTAAATTCCAAAAGAGAAAGTCTTAATGATCTCCCTAAGAACCTGTTTTGCCATCATTTCTGGATCAGTTTCTTGATTGTGATGCACTAGCGTCCAGCTATTACTTACAAGCTGATTACTGCTTTCTTTTCCTTTATTTCGCTGACTCTCAGCTTCGACATCCATTATTATGAGTCTTGGATCATTGCCCCATCCTCTGCTCATTTGCTTGGGTTTGCTAGATGGTTTCTGCTTTATATGGATTCTTATCCTTTTCAATTCGCCTATAGGTACATGGCATCCATGTTACATAGATACGCCTGTGAGCACTCATCTGTGGTTGCCGTGGTGGGAAGAGGACATCTTCAAGGAATTAAGAAGAATTGGCAGCAACCCGTATCGGTGAGTGAGCTGTTCATCTTTCTTACTCGGATGTCAGCTGAAGTGCCTTCACTATTAGGATCAAATCAAAACAAAAAGCATCTGCCAGACTGTCACACATCACATCGTTCTCTAAGTTCTAACAGCCATTGTAGCTTGTCGATAAAGTTGGCTCAATCATCGACATTGATTTGTAAAAGCAGTGTACCTGATAGACGAATATTGCTTTCACTCTGGTTGCAGATGGAAGATCTTCTGGAAATTCCTACCCCTAAACCAAAAGTTTCAGCATTGAAGGTTATTACCTCCCTAGGTGTTGGCGCGGCTATCATATCGGGCATTTACCTTGCCCGCAAGAAATAGCACCAGGCCAGGAGTTTGTTGTTGATCTATACAAAGAATACAGAACGGCGAACCAGTCGTCTTGACCCTTCTGTACCTGTTTTTCCCCCCTTTTTTGTTTCTTCCTTTGCTCAAATAACATTATCCTATTTACCATTCTAGCTGTTGAGGTCTTGAGGATTAGTTTATTGTAGTCATCCGTGATACATGAATCTTGCTCGAGAGCGTTCCATTCATAATAGCTGATTTCTTGTATACTAGCTCTTATATAACTTAACCATAAAGGGGTATGTTTACATGATGTTCACAAAAGAGAGCTTGTGATGTTATTAAAATCCGTGAGACAAGGATTCTGGACACGGCTTTTTGACGAGCCTGCAAACGAGACATAAGCTGGGAGACAGGCAGCAAGTAACTCAGGTGTGCTATGCAACTCACTGTTACAATCTCGGTTACCCTGTTTGTGAAGCACATGGTATCGTTTGTGAAGCACATGGTATCGTGTATTCAGATTCGTGCAAACAACAACCCTTATGAGTTGCATGACTTTCGTTGAGGGGTGTGTTAGTGAATGGTATTAGATTCATTATTGAACCTCTCCCAACAACTCGAGTTATTGGGATCAACTGGCTCTTGACATGGTATTAGAGTCTTGTGTGACAGAAAGGTCTTGTGTTCGAATGTCGGTGACCCCCGTTTGTGAAGCACATGGTATCGTGTATTCGGACTTGTGCAAACGACTTCCCTTATGAGTTGAATGACTTTCGTTTGAGGGAGTGTGTTAGTGAATGATATAAGATCCATTATTGAAACTCTCCCAACAACTCGTGTTATTTAGATAAACTGGTTCTTGACTAAGTATACAAAGTAGTATTCTAAGGAATATAATGCCAGAGGTTTCTAGCGGACAAGAAATTAATAGTAGATAGTATAGAAACTAAGGTTCAAGAAAGCTCTAGTCGTAAGGTCGGCATTGGGGTCTTGCCTAACGCCTAGTGCACTTAGGTGTCGCGTAAGTGTTGGAAACAAAAATAGTAGTTAGTATTAAATGATAGGGTTAAAGACACATTTGGTCACTAACATTACTAAATCGGGACATGTTTAGTCACTAAAAAAAGTTAATATCAAATTTTGTCACTATAATTACTAAAACAGGACACATTTAGTCACTCGCCGTTCGTTGCCGTCCAACTCCATTAAAAGAGTCCGTTATGTGCTAACATGGCTAACAGAATCGCCTAGTCAGCATTGTTTTGGACCAAATATATTCAAACCCGACCAGCCACATCACTAAACCCGCCACGTCATTGTTCCAACCCAATCCACTAACCCAACCGGACCCATAACCAAACCCGACCCTATTCTCCATCTCTACCACGTCTCTCCACTTCTCCCCATTCCATTTCACATCGCCGGCAAATCCGCCCCTTCCGTTTCACTCCACCGAGCTCACCACATCCTCTCCTTCGACCATCAATCCACTACCTTCACCGAACAAGAACCCGAAGAACAAGCTTCTTCTTCCCCCATCAAGCTCAACGTCTCCCCCCATCATCCCTCGACGTCCTCTCAAGATGATCGGTCGTCAGATCCAACCACCCGGACTACAAACCTCTCACCTCTGCTAGGCTCCGCCGCGACTCTGCCCCGTCGATCTCCGCCAAGCTCCTCCTCTCTTACTCCGACCTCACCCCTCTACTCGATTCTGACTCCCCCCATTTCCTTTCTCAGTCCGATTTATCGACTTCCGTCACATCCGGGCAAACCAGGGCAGCGGGGAGTACTTCTCCCGGGCCTGGCTAAGCAAACAGACCTGATCTTCAACCGGCCTTCCTCCTCCTACTCCCTGCTCTTCTGCAGCTCACCGGAGTGTGCCACCCTCGACGTCTCATCCTGCCACTCCGGTCAGTGCCTCTACCAGGACAATTACAGGAGACGGGAAACTGACGTCAGCGCGATGGGGGAATCGATTTAGAGGTTTCGTCCACTGCTGTGATGGGGGAAGCGCGAAGAAGAAGAAGAAGTACAGAGCGGATTCGCAGCTGGATCTTAGGGTTTCTTTGTCTGCTGCGATGGGGGAACTGAAGCCGGCGCGCGACGAAGAAGAAGTCGACTTCGACGAAGGATCTGGGACAAGGGGGTCAAGGGGTAGAGTCGCTGGCTCCATCTCTCTCTGCTCTCTGATGTGTTCTATCGAAAATGGTAGATGAAATTGAATGAGCAGAGCTTCGGGAGGAAGGAGAAGGGTTCCGGGTCTGAAAATGTCACTAACCCGAATGATTTTCCAATTTTGTTTTGTTAACTGGATCGGCTTTGGTTCTGGGTCGGGTTGGGTTTAATACGTGGCTGGTTTAGTGACGTGGCAGGTCGGGTTTGACCATTTCCGGCCCAAAACATCGCTGACTAGGCGCTCACGTTAGCCACGTCAGCACATAACGGACTCTTTTAACGGAGTTGGGCGGCAACTAACGGCGAGTGACTAAATGTGTCCAATTTTAGTAATTGTAGTGACCAAATTTGATATTAACTTTTTACAGTGACTAAACATGTCCCGATTTAGTAATCTCAGTGACCAAATGTGTCTTTAACCCTTAAATGATAATGACAAATTTGTTTTACATTAACTTGTACTTTAGTTATAATGATCAATAACCTATTTAACTCTTTACAATTAAAAAAAAATTAGAAGTTAATAGAATTAGAGCTCAATAGCTCGTAAAATTCTTGAGTTATTGAAAAGAACGGAGAAAGGAATGTATGTGTGGATGCTATTTATTTTTTCCTTTTAATATTGATCGCTTAGCTTCTCCTAATTATACCTAGAAGACAATTAATTGTCGTCGTACTTTGCAACCGGTTCGACATTTCTAACACGATGCGAAACCCCTAGGCGAGACATTTTGGTGTTGAACCAAGTGTAAGTTTAAGCACGCTTTTTTTAATCATGATAAAAATCATAAAATGAAAGTGTACCTATCATATCATATACTAGATTAGGGCCCGGCCTCTTGGCCGGGAGAGTTTGATTTTCATGTGTATGTATAGTAAACATTAGGGTATATTTTTTTTATGGTTCTTGTTGTTGGGGATTGAAGTAACTATTTAATTTGGTAAGTTCTCCATGAATTATATAGTAAAGTATTTAATGTATTTGACTAATGAAGTTTAAAAAATGACAAACAATTTCCACCTACACTAAAATAAATACATATTTTCAAACAATGTCATATCCATATAAAAATGTCAAAGAAGAACAATGATAAGAGTTGTTTTACATCACACATACATAATCAATCTTCAGTATACAATAATTTTTTTTCCTTTTCCATTGACTTTCGTGTATTCAATGATATAATGAAACAAAGTATATGTTTAGAGTGTCCTTAAAAAGAGACAAACTAACTAACATAATCATGGTTCCATTGACTTTAGTGTATTCAATGATATAATGAAACAAAGCATGTAGATCTCCCGCTGGCAAGTTCAACTAATAGAGCAACACATAAAAAGCTAAATCAAAATGAAAAGAAGGCAAAAACTAAAATCAACATACCTAACATTTGGGGGGAAATCCACAACTATAAAAGTCATTGTAGCTCTTACTCAAGTTAGAAAGACTTTGATTTAATGGCAAGTAAACAATGATATGTAGTGCTTAAGAGGGAAGATGAGACCTTACATTGTTTATTAATATGCATCTTAGTTTCATAAATTTTACATCATTAAAAATTTATGTGCTGAATAGAAACCCATCCAAGTTTGGAGCCATTGTCAAATGTAAGTTATGAGGCAAATGAAAAGTCTCAAGCATCCACATGCTTGAAAAATAAATATATATTATCAAACATAAAATCATATCTTGCATCAGAAAAAAGAACATAAAAGTAGTAATTCGATAATCAATATAGGAATCAATATGGACACAATATCTAACCAAGAGAAGAGAAAGCGAAAAAACACAAATTGTTGTGTAATGATTCCGCTCACGATATTTTAAAGTGAAAAATATCATAAAAATTATTAACCAATAAAAGGGAATGGAAAATGGGAAAATGCATCAATTTGAACCTAAAATGAGAGGATTTAATATCCTACACCATCATATATAATGATATATTATATCCTAGAACATCATAAAAAAATCTATCTAAATGAAAAAGTATACTAAATTGAATCCAATGTAAAAGTAACGATGAAGATAGATATTATATCCACCTAAGGAATAATAAAGTAAGCCATGTTTCTTAGAGACCTCTCTCGATAGAACCACTCTATTATAAAAGCCATTTCGTCAAGCAATTGCATCATATAGAGTTTTTAACTTAAATTTGAAATGTTTATAATTAGCTATTTCAGCTCATGAATTAATTAATTATATCATTTGGTAAAAGAAAACAATCTATAAACTTGAGAGTTATTTCGTAGTATGAAAATGTTTTAGAATCGTTATTTTATTCATTATTATTAAAATTGCTATTTTTATTATAATGTCTAAGCATGTCTAGGCGAGCTAGGAGATAGAGAAATGCCCAATGACCGTCGTACTCCTAACGTGCTGCTGAACTTCAATAATTAAAGAAAACTTTGTGTGCATCTTATAAATTTGATCACTTCTATTTTGCTATAATTGATTACATCATGAAAGCGATCAATCAAAGAGTCTTTCTTTAAGATTTTGATAAGATGTCCCCTACTGCACAATTAGTATGACTAAATTATAATAAGATAATCATGTATTGAATTTTGAATCGATAGCGCAAAAGATTGTACTAACTCAAGTAGAGTTTTAGCTGCTCAGTACTTCATATTCGCATGTAGATAGCTATTTCGAAGAGTTTGAATATTGATTGAGTTTGTTGATCTTTACCTAACGAAACTATGATATCAATCGCAAGATATTATGCTTTTTGGAGAAATTGAGAGAATATGTTGGTGACATCAAACCTAACATGGATACCATTGAACTTAAGTGATAAGCAACATTTATGTTTAATAGATTAGACATGAAAAATATATTTAGCATTCCCATAAGTTGGTAAGAAGTGAATAATTAGGAATTGAAAGTTAGAAACAAAGTTGATTTAATAAATAACTGCAAATGATATTGTGAAAAAGAAAACAAATGCTTAGAGCATAGCTAGGCATGAGAGTGCTACATTAAACTCTCTAAGAGAAAGCAAGTAATTTTTGTATTAATAAAGTACAACAACTATGTCTAGTCTAATTGGTTACAATTCTTGTCTTTGGTGGAAGAGACAATGGTTCAAATCCTAGCATTGATATCTTTTTATATGAAATAAAATTTGAATGTGTAGACAAAAATACCCTTCCTACTTTCACACTCGTTGCAGGAAATTTGAAATTGAGCAAATCAAACTCTTTAAAATGTACTAGCTTGTAACCCGACCCGTTGGTCGGAGGAAAAGTTGGTACAACCATGAAGTTAGACCATTAAAAACATACCAATGAAATTGAATAGCATCGAAAAACTTCAACTTCATTATATAATTACATGAGATCAGAAAGAGAACACCATTAATTTGATTTATAAAACTTTCATCTTGTCGTCATTGTGCTTTCTGGTTTTTGTCAGGCCATGATAAAATCTAAGGAAATCAAGAACGAACAACACGATTTGGGATAGGAACCGCCGTTGTCGTATTCCTAGAGAATGGTGGTAAACACGGACTCACATGCCAAACTGGTTTGGATTGAGATTTTTATCGGGTATCAGGGAACCATGTGATTATAAATTAGACTTGATCAAAATAGGCCAAAACTCAAAATTCAGCCTGTTTGACCGAACCATGCAAAATTCTAATTATTCGTTACTTTTAAACTTTCTATTTGAAAATAAAAAATAGTGAAAGAAAATAGATGACTGCAATTCGCCATTTGCACATCACTTATTCGGGAATAAAACTATAGAAATTCAAAAGAAACTGAAAATGTTTAGGATCATTTTAATGTTTAAAATAACCAAATAGATCTTTCTGTTTAGTTTTTTACTAACAAATACCAAGCGATTCCCTATAAAATACACTATAATTTTATCATTATGATATCAAATAATTATATAATATATATTTGAAATGATAAAAATTGGACTAATTGGGTTGGTCGAGGTTGAACCATTGATAACTTTAAACTACATTATATTTTAGCCACTAAGATATAAAATAATATAATAATATATATTATGCTAGAGAAAATAGCTTGTTTTAGAATGTCAAACCAATGATGTTCATTTGTTTTACTTGATGGCCAAATCTGGTGTAGGTCAGGCCAATTCTACTCTTTTATTTTATGGTTAGCGGTTAGCCCATTAGATACCATGTATTAGTTTATTGTTAAATTTTTTTTATTTTTAGTATAAAAAGAAGTATTGTTTTTGCTTTTTCATATATATTTTATCACCACGGAGAAATACAAGGGCTTAATGAAAAAAATTGACACTCCTGAACCCGTTTAAATCCGCATGTGTACGGTAAGTTGGCCCGTTCCACAGAGGAAAGAGAAAAAAATTAACACTACCTATTCTACCCTTCCTACAAACGCTCATGGAGCAGGGAATTTGAAATGGGGGAAGGGGTTTTTTCTCCCTGCTATTATATGTTTTTGATTTAAAAAGATACAACAAATGTACTTAGTGTGATTGGTTATGTTCCTTGCTTTTCTTTAAAATGGACATGGTTCGAATCTCAGTATGTGTCTTTTTAATGAATAAAAAAAAGTAATTGTGAAGACCAAAATGTCCTTCCTACTTTCACTCTCGTTGCAGGAAATTTGAAATGGGGCTCCCGTTTTTTTCTTCGGTGTATTATATTATGTGTAGATTATAAGTAGTCTAGACTAGACTAGATATACAAACATATATTGCAAGGTATATAAACCAGATCAGAAAAATATCCAAAATTATACAAACCAATACTACAAAGTTTGAAATCATATACTAAAATTTTAAAAATTAATTTTACAAAATATACAAACCATAAGAAAAAAATATACAAACCAATAATTTAAGTATACAAACAAGATTGTGAAACCAATAATTTAAGTATACAAACAAGATTGTGAAAGTATGCCAGTTATATCATAAAATTATAAAAGTTTATATTATAAGATATACAAACCACATCATAAGTATACAAGTCAGAGTGATTGTATACAAACCAGATCATACGAGTATATAAAAACTAATAGTATAAACTATACAAATCATATTACGAAGTATACAACCCAATGATACAAAATATAAGCGCCATATTATAAAATTATACAAATTAATATTTCAAAATATACCGATCAAATTCACATCATATCAAACCATACAAACAGTATAAAATACCACACTCTTTACAAGACAAACTTGGAATACTTGCATCACAAATTATATATTCCTTTCTCTACATTGCTTCTCTCTCTACGAAACTTATTATGCTCTCTCTATGAAACTACTTATTCTTTCTCTTTTTTTTATGACAAACCAAACTAATTTACATGGCAAACTACTTACAGTACAAATTCCTAAGATTTACATTATAGGCCAAACTGATTTACATTACAAACCATAATTTTTGTGATTATAAATTATGACTATTTTCAGTACAAATGAATATGACTTTTATTACAAAGCAAACTAATTTACATTACAAACTACTAACAGAAAAATGGATAGGACTTACATAACAAACTATATGACTTACGTTACAAACCATATTGTTTTACTCTATGAAAATTTTCTCTCTCTAGACTTCTTCTCTCTATAAAATTTATTCTTTCTCTGTTAAACTAAAATGTGCCAAATCGGGAAGATAATCTTTAAAGAGAGTAAAAAAAACCATAAAAAAAAACCAAAATAATAATATTGTAACTATTATTCTACCCGCAACTTAAATAAATTCATTGAAACCATTATATTCAATTGAAATGGAATATAGATTACTTAGGGGTCGTTTGGAAGTTGCGAATGTTAAATCGTTGAATTGTAATGGATCACAACAAAATAAATACATGTATTGGTACAATGGATGCATTGCAATAATACATTGTTTGGTTGTTGAAATTCTACTTTATGTATTGACTTGCATAAAGTTACTTTATGGAAAAATGTCACATTTATCCTCAATTTTTAGTATAAGACAAAAACTAATAGGGATATAAATGGAAAGAAAAAATGGACACAAATCTAAAATCAACAATCACAACAATCTCAACTTTTAGTTGAGATTGTATAATGCATGATTTTTTGTGATTGTTGGTGGGACCTACCTAAAACAATACATGCATTGTTTTACACTTTGGCACTTCCAAACATTGTATTGTGCACAATGCATGTATTCAATAAACACAACTCTAACAATCACAACTCTAACAATCAATTGATTAAGGCCCCTCCCTTAGTATCTTGTTGGGCTAGTATTATGATATTATGCAGAGTTAGAATCTTGCGCTATTCAAAGGTGACTACTTCGGTGCACTCAGAAAAATGAGTGCGTTCAATGCACCCAACTAAAAACTATTCTCAAGGTGTCGGATTTTAAATTTTAATTTGTAGAATTAGTGTAATATGATGATATAACATATCATAACAACTAATTAGCGGATTACCCTAAGCCCTAGACCTCCAATTTTGAGTTCTATCTCTAAACCCCAAAGTTTAAACCCTAACCCTAACCATAAATCTCTAAACCCTAAATCCTTCAAATTAAAGTAAATCTTCAATGGTTTCTGTGCAAATTCATGTGTGTTATTGTTCATCACGTCATAAGTGATCATTGACATCATTTTGACATAAATCGCATGTTTCAAATGACGGCTATGAAGCGACTGCACTGAATGCACCCAAAAAAGTGAGTGCACCGAAAACGCCACCACATATATATATGATGATTTGCTAGCTTGTAGTTTGACTCGCTTATTTTTTCTTTTTTACGAGAATAAAATTTTTATCATCAATGCAAGACACCCCAAATGCGAGGGGTCCTCTCAAAAGTACTCTATTACAAACTATGAGAATATTGCTCAAGATTCATCTATAAGTGACTATACTTTGTACGAAAAATCTATCCAAAACCGGAGCAACCTGCGGTCTCTTTGTAATTAAGCAATCAACTTTAGATCGAATTATTGTAACCAGCTGCCTGGAATTAGAGATTCCACCATCACCATACCAGCGGTGGCAGTGTTCCTTCCACACATGTCCAATGACCAACCTCCATAAGAGCCTACCAATACGAACATAATGTGAACCTCCCTGCCACATTCTTGACGCACAAGCAAGATGGGAATCCCAATGGCTGAACCAAGGGATGCGAACAGGGAAGAGAACCTGCATTACGTCGAGAAAGAAGGAACACTGACAAAACAGATGGAACCTGCTCTCAACACCCCCTAGGCAAAGAACGCAACACCCAGAAGTAATCTTAACCCACAACAGAAGCTTGCCAGCTGCAGTAATTTTGTTACGAACAATAATCCAAGTCAAAACACTATACTTAGGAATGGAGGGCTTATCCCAAACCAACTCAGCCCAGAAAATATGTAGAAAGGGTCCCCTAATACCCAACCACACTCGTTTTATAGAGTAACGAGACATGGGACTACCATCCCAAAGGAGGGAGGCGCTTGCACCTGTGATAAATCGACTAGCAGTAGTTCTCAGTTTCAATATATGCTTCCAGATCCAAGATCCCACAGAGGTAGCAGAATCTTCCCAAATAGTATTGGACTTGAGGCGATACAGTTTGATCCATGCGACCTAGATAAAATTACTACTTGCTAATATTGACCACAGGTGCCTTTTAACACATTCTTTATTTTCCACATACCAAAATACTTAATCCCCAAACCCACTTCAGACTTCATTAATACTGCAAATGACCAGGCAGCTGTCGTTTTATGCCTTGCACTCCCTCCCCCCACACCCCATAAGAAATTATTACAAATCTTCTCAATATCCTCCAATATAGTTGCTGGTAAGGTAAACACATTCATCCAAAACTGCAAAGCGCTGGAGATAACAAAAGAGATCAATTGAATTCTACCCGCATAGCTAAGAGTTTTAGCATGTCACCCTCTAATGCGTGCAGTAATTCGATCAACCAACACCTGACAATTAACCCTGCCTAACTTCCCCGAGATCAGTGGGACTCCCAGATAACGAACAGGAAGAGAGTCAAGTGGGAACCATGTACAGGACGAGATAAAGTCCTTTTCTACAGCAGGGATCCCTGCACAGAAGAGCTTACTCTTCTCTGGGTTACATTTAAGCCCCGAGCTCCTACAAAAATCATCCAACACTTTGCGTATTCCAGCAACTGCCCTCACAGAACCATTAGAAAAGACAAGCAAGTCATATGCAAAGCAAAGATGAGTAATACCCAGTTTCTTACACGTAGGGTGATAAGGCACTTGATTCTCAATAGCTTCTTTGTGTAACAAGCATGAGAAGACTTTCATAGCGATAGTAAAAAGATAAGGGGACAGAGGATCCCCTTGTCTTAATCCCTTCCCCGCACGAAACAGCCCACTCTAAAATTAGGTGATGTAACACAGGTACGCACTAGCTCAATATAGAAATCTGGGTTTCCCATGGCATTCATGACTCGGAACAAAAACCTCCAATCGACTGAATCAAATTCCTTCATTAGATCAATCTTTACTACACAACGCGAGGTTATGGATACTTTATGATAATCCTTAACTAACTCAGAGGCTAGCAAGATATTATCACTAATGATACGACCTTTCGCAAAAGCATATTTGAAGGGCTAATGATTTGAGGGAGTACTAAAGCCATTATGTTTGCAAGCAGCTTAGCCATGGCCTTATATAACACGTTACAACAAGATATAGGCCTAAAATCTTTCATCCTTTCTACATTTTGAAGCTTAGGGATAAAGGTTAGAATCGTATAGTTTACCTCTTGGGAAGCAAGCCAGTAAGAAAAAAAGAAATCACAGCATCAGTCACATCCGAGCCAATGGTCTCCCAGTCAGCCTTATAAAAGTCAGTAGGGTAACCATCAGGTCCAGGGGCTTTATCAAAGGCCATAGAGAATAAAACAACACGAACCTCCTCTCTTGTGACTGGTTTAGGCAAGATCTTCAAGTCTTCATGTGAAAGTTGGGCCCGAAGCAGACCCTCAAAATAACTGACTGGTGATAAGCCGTTAATTGCACATGTTTTTACCCCTATTCTGGAGCCGTTTGAGATGGTAATTCTCGTGTTTTAGGTCGATTTCATGCTAGGTTGTGTTTGTTTGTGATATTTCAGGTCCTAGCAAGTGAATGAAGGTTTAGGAGCGAGTTCGGGGTCGATTGGACGAAGATCGGGCGCGAGGCAAGTCACAAAGGAAGCCACACGGGCAGGCACAAGACCCACACGATCGTGCTAGTGACCAATTTGTCCGTGTGGGATTGTGCGAGCACTAACACGGGCACAAGAAGAATCCACACGGCCGTGCAAAAGATAACTTTGGCCGTGTGGAATTCTGCGAGGCTTCACACGGCCAGGCAGGGTGATCCACACGGCCGTGTGACCCTGGCCGTGTAGGTTGACTGAAGTCCAATTAATCGATACGCGGCGTTTTGAAGTCACACGGGCAACTGGGTATGCCACACGGCCGTGTGGGCCTGCCCGTATGAGTCGGGAATTTTTGGTTTTAACCCAATTTCGGGCTGAAAGTGGGGGAATCGAGTTTTGAGAGCAAAAACAGAGCCCTAGAGAGAGAAAGTACGAAGAACACATCTTAGAAGCTATCTTGGAGCTGGGTTTCATCAAATCAAGCTTGGAGATCGTCATAGGAGTGGAAATCATCATCCCAGAGCAGATTTTCCTCATCTTTATGAGTATGACTACTCTGTATTCTGTTTCCCTCTCTCTCTCTCTATGGAGTAGAACCCTTCTCTCACTTGGGTATGAAGAACCCTAGTTCTATGTGTTAGGGATTTGATTGTAATGACTTGGGATGATATTACTGCTTGGTTTTAATCGAATGATGCATGTTTATTGAGTCAATTGAAGTCTGATCAGCTTTTCCTGATTTCTGTTGCAACCTGAGATAGATAGAATCTGATTAGGTTGTTAGAGCCTCATCATTCGGTAGTAGGAGATTGGCTATACGAGAGTTAGCCAGTTTACTGCTTTGTACTGGAATTCAACTCCAGTAGTGGAGTTCTGTTCTTACTGCTTCAGCTTTCTATCCTGGTGAAGACTAGTCGTCTGCCGGGTAGTTAGTCTGAGAGGGCTTGGTCAGCTTAAGAGATTCCAAGCTACTGTCGGATCTTCCGCAGTCTAATCAACAGTAAATCAACCCAGGGAAATTACAATTGAAACCTAACTAAGGAGCTAGGGGGACTCATTCCCGAGTGACTGTTCTTTTCTTGAGAAAACCGTACCAATTTCTGCTTTATTTCTGCTTTTGCTTTAAACAACAATCATTTGTCTTAGTTGACTAGATAATAGATAATCACTGAGTAAGCAGTAGATCTAGACCCCGGGTTGATAATATAACTTGCCACTTTACTGCAGTCCCGGTCTGCGATTACACTTGGTCGCAGATTGGTGTTGTGTTTTGGAGTGTCAAGGTTTTTGCGCCGTTGCCGGGGACCCCTCTAGGTTATTGGGGAAACGTGCAAATCTGTTACTCTAGCTTTTTCTTTACTGCAATTTATCTTTTCCACCTGTGTGCCTTCACGGGTTGCTCTGCTGATTCTGTGTAGGTAGTGCATGACCCGTAGCCAGTTGGGAGATCTACTACCACTAGACCAGGAGCTTGAACGAACCTGCAGAAACTTCAAGCGGGCTCTAAAGGCGCGACTGGCTGCGGAGGAGGCGCTAGCGCAGTTGCAGATCGCTGACGAAGAGGAGAGGGCTGATCCATAGGACCATGATGTGGTCAATCCCGAGGAGCATACCATGGGACATTACTGGACTGCCAGGGCTGCAGACATGAGGTCACCCATTCAACACCCTCATGTCCCAGCTAATAATTTTGAGGTGAGCACCTCAGTAATCACCATGCTGCGCGGTTCAGTGATGTTCCGTGGCAAAGAGGGGGAGTGCCCTTGATCACATCTCAGGCGATTCCACGAGCTCATTGATGGAATCAAGATCAATGGGGTCCCAGCAGATGCCATCCAGCTGAGGTACTTCCCATTCACCTTGGACGGGCAGGCCAAGGAGTGGCTAGACACTCGACCTCCGGGCTCCATCACCACGTTCGCCAACCTGGCGGACAAGTTTCTCACCCGCTACCATCCTCCATCCAAGACGGAGGATCTGCAGAAGCAAATTACCCATTTTGCTCAGGATGAGGATGAGACCATCAGGGATGCTTGGGAGAGATACACCAGTCTCTTCCTCAAGTGCCCCAACCATGGTTTTACTGATGCATCCAAGGTGGGAACCTTCTATCATGCTCTCTTCCCGGAGGACAAGCAGCTGATTGACTCGGTCTATGGCGGGAATATGCTAACCAAAACGCCGCCACAGCTGAATCAACTTTTTGAAGAGATGGCAGAGCAGGGATATGATTGGGGCACTTCCAGGAGATCGAGAAGAGCACCAGGGCGGGGTGTGCATGTTGTCGCCACCCAGTCATCTGATTTGGTGCAGGTGGTATCGAAGCTGGTTTCAGCCATAGATCGCTCTGGATTGATTACAGGTACAGGACAGCCGCAGGCGATGCACTGCCAGTGGTGTGAGAGCTCCCATCACACCGTGGAGGACTGTCAGGCGATGAGGGAGTCATCCACTCCCTAGGAGCAGGTGGACTTCATCAGTAATGCCAGGCGCTTCGACCCCTACAGCAACACTTATAACGAGGGGTGGCGCCAGCATCCCAACTTCTCCTGGGGTGGGGCAAATTCCAGACCACCAGTCCCCCAGGTACCACCAGGCTTCCAGAGGCCTCCTTACCAGCCCAAACAGGGGCAATTTCAGCAGCCACAGCAGCCACTCTACCCGCCCAGGCAGGGGCCAGTTCCACCTCAGTCACAAGTGCGGCCATTTCAACAGACAGGGGCAGCACCTGCAGCCCCAGCTCAGAGTGACCCGATTGCGGAACTGCGAGATCTGGTGGGTTCTCTGGCCACCTCCAGTGCAAACAAGTTTAATAACATCGAGCAGTTCATGGAGAAAGCTTCAGGCAAATTCATGGAGCTAGAAGCTGGTCAGAGAAACACGCAGTCTGTTCTTCGGGATATCCAGACCCAGCTTGGGAGTGTTGCCCAGGCTGTAGCTAAGAGGCCTCCTGGTACTCTACCCGGTCAGACCATCCCTCATCCGCAGAACCCGAATGAGCACTGTGGGGCCATTACCACCAAGAGTGGCAAGGTGACTGCCGATCCACCTGTCGGGCAGAAGAGAGAGAGACCCCTGCTTCAGCACTTCCAGCTAATGAAGATGAAATGGAGAAGGAGGTTGAGGTGCCTGCTCCTAAACCGCAACCAGTGGTGAAGGAGTATGTACCCCAGCTCCCCTTTCCTACTCGGTTGCACAAGGACCGACTGGAGATTGAGTTTGCCAAGTTCATGGCAATGCTGAAGCAGGTGAATATAAGCATGCCCTTTGTGGAGGCATTATCGAAGATGCCCAAGTATGCCAAGTTCATGAAAGATCTCCTCACCAACAAGAGGAAGCTTGGGGAGCTGTCAACGGTGATGCTCAATGAGGAGTGTTCTGCCATCCTGCAGAACAAACTACCAGATAAGCGAAAAGACCCAGGGAGTTTCACTATCCCTTGCATGATTGGTAGTTTGCATATAGGGAAGTCCTTGGCGGATTTAGGCGCTAGCATTAATGTCATGCCATATAAACAGTTTAAAAAGCTAGGCCTAGGTGAACCCAGTAATACTAGGATGAGCATTCAACTTGCTGATAGATCCATTGTGCATCCTAGGGGCATTGCAGAGGACTTGATAGTCCCAGTAGGGCCATTCTCTTATCCTGTTGATTTTGTGATTTTGGACATAAATGAGGATGTGGATGTGCCATTGATATTGGGTAGACCTTTTCTCGCCGCCGCCAAGGCGCTCATTGATGTGAATGATGGAAAACTGATTTTGCGAGCTGGGGGTGAACAAATCACCTTCTCTGTTTCTGATAATATGAAACACCCCCAGCTCCATGATGATCTAGATTACTGTGATGTTGTTGCTGATTTTGAGACCGCACTCGCCATCACGAGTGCGGGTACTGATGATTTCCTTGAGCATTGTCTTTTGCTAGGGGAACAGGCATCACAGGACATGCAACTTGCGGAGCTAGACGAGGCCATGATCGAGGGGCGAGAGATACCATTCAAGCCGATCCCTATCTCGCCCCGGATCGCTACATCATTGGAGGAGCCACCAGAGCTGGAGCTTAAGCCCCTCCCCTCTCACCTGGAGTATGCATTTCTCCGGGAGGGGAATAAGCTCCCGGTCATTATTAGCTCGGATCTCACACACGAGCAGAAGAGCAGGCTGGTGGCTTTGCTGCAGAAGTATGCCCGGGCCATGGCATGGAAGATCACAGACATCAGAGGCATTAGCCCATCCTTCTGCTCCCACAGGATTCTGATGGAGGATGAGGTTAAGCCAGTCAGGCAACCGCAGAGGAGATTGTCTCCTAACTTGGAGGCAGTGGTCCGGGCAGAGATTGTGAAGCTCATGGATGCAGGGATCATCTTTGCTATATCTGATAGCAAGTGGGTCAGCCCCACTCAGGTGGTCCCGAAGAAAGGCGGGATGACTGTGGTC